CCTTTCTAGTCATTCCAGGAGCGCGTGGCACCATGGACACAGCAGCTAAACTTCCGGTGTCAGAATGTTAGACGAGAGGAAGCTGACAGACAGGTTGAGCTTGCCAGAGCCGGCAAACCGGCTCCTCTGCCAGTCCTAGCCACCACCACAGGAGAACCCTCTCTCCACCCAGGCTGGTTCAGAACCGGGGTATGAGAGTCATTTGACTCACAGACACACGGTGGGCTGGAGCAGACATTCCCAGTTAAGGCTCGGAGACAGCAACTCTGGATCGATCCCCACTGGTGGGGCAGAGATGCAAGAACTCTTGCCAGGGCTGGGAAAGAAAGAGTCTATAAACTGCCCGCTAAGCCCACCGTGGATCAGGAAGGAGCTGGTGGGCTCGTGTGTCAGTCACTGACCCTGGCCCTTGTAGGCTCCACCTCCAGGCTGTGACAAGAAAGCCTAGGGGCTGGTGGGGGTGGGAAGGGGCTGCATAGGCTACCACAGCCTCCTATTTGCCACCGTCCACATTCACTTTGGCCTGGGCCAAAGAGGGGGTGGCAGCCGCTGGTACACCCTCCTCTCGCTGCTTTTGGAGAAGACCTCACCAATTGCTCTGCTCTTCTACCGATACCTTTGGCCCATAGCATAGTCAACCGTGACAAAACCGTGTGACAGACGCAGGTCAGGCTCGTGCCCAAGTCACTACTGACTGCCACCCTCACGTGACCCACAGGACCACAAGATAAGGCACTGATAATGCAACACTACCCACTTCCCTTTTCTGGAGGATGTGAGGCCACCAACACAGACTGCACAGCAGCCAGCTGTTGCACGGAGGCACACCCACCTCCGCCAGCAGACAGGTAGAGGGGATGACTTCTTCCCTCCAACTTTAGCCTTGGGGCTACCCCGCCCTCCTCTCCCTCAGCCACTCAAACGGTTTCACATCCCGTCAGGACTTGAAAGAGGTGACTACTCGACTACAGCAGCTGCTAGATTCTGTGTGTGTGTGTGTGTGTGTGTGTGTGTGTGTGTGTGTGTGTGTGTGTGTGTGTGTGTGTGTGTGTGTGTGTGGGGGTGCTCCCCGGGTTAGTAGAATGCTGTTAGGAGCCCATTCTCCGGTGCTTCCAAACACATCAACTCCAGCTGAGAACAAAACTGACCTTTCTTACCTGAGTTTTCAGCTACCCCGAGGCAGACACAGCTTCCAGGATGCTCAAACTTGAGGTAGCAGAGAGGATCCTGCAGGCCAGTGCCTACCCTCCGGCAATGGCTTCCAAAGGTCAGGTTCACAGCGCTCTTCTGCTCCCCAAACCCTTACACCCTCCTGCATTACTCTTCGCACTGGATGACTACTGATGTCAGCGAGGTAGCTTGCATATTACCACCTCCTCCGCCGTCTACGCCTGCGGGTCCTGTGTCCCTCTTGGAATTCCTCTCGCCCTGGGGACCCTTTACCGTTCAGATACGTTTCCTGAACAGCCCACGCAACCTGGCCCTCCTGCACCCCGGGCAGCCAATTTGCTTCCTGCACCCCCCAGCGACCCTCTCCTTCAGGCCCCCGGGGTCCCACAGGCCTGGCCCTCCCCAACAGCTCGAGTCTGTCCCCACTCGCGGGGGATGCTCCCAGGACTACCGCCTCCCTGCCCAGGTGCCCGCAGCTCTCCCAGCTGCGCTCGTCCGAACTTTCGAGCTCCTCCGTGTGCGGGCAGGAGCCGTCTGCCAACTCGGGCAGCTCCTCCGGCTGCCGCAGAAGCCTGCGTGGGCTGCCCTCCCCGCGCTCTTGCACCCCGGCACGGGCCTCGCCGCGCTCCTGCACTGCGGGGCCGCCTCCCCCCTTCTCCTGCTGCTGCCTCCGGGGCCCCAGGCCCTCCTCCTGCGCCACTGGCCCGCCGGCAGAGCCCGTCCAGCGCGCCGGGCGCCTCCAGTCCGCGGCGCCGGGCGGCCCCCACACCACCCCCAGGCTGGGCTCGTGACCGCGGCCGCCCCGCTCCTGCACCCCCAGCCCCACGCCGCCCTCCTCCTGCACCGCCGGACCCACCCCGCCCTGCTCCTCCACGCCGAGCTTCAGCCCGCGGAGAAGCTGCGGGCCCCAGCTGAGCCGCCCGACGCGCGCCGGCTGCTGCTCCGGCAGCGCGGGGCTCACCCCGCCACGCTCCTCCTGCGCCCCCCGCCGGCGACCCCCCGAGCCCGCCGCGCCGCGCACGCGCCTGCCCCCCAGAGGCCGCGCGCTCCCGCCCCTCCAGATGGTGCTGCCCTGCGCGCCCCCGCCCCGCGGCTTCCGCCTCGGCCCCGAGAGGGCTGAGGGGCCCCGGCGTCCGGCCCCCGCCTCCCGCAGTCAACCACGGCCACCCCGGCGCCGCGCCGCAGGTGCTGCGGCCCCGCGAGCCGGCGGCCCTCCAGCCGGGTTCCCAGAGCCCGCGCGCGCCTGCGCCGCCCCGGGGGGTGGGGCCCACTGGAGTGGCTCCGCCCTCTTAAAGGGGCCTGACCCTTTATTGCCCGCGCGCGCTCACACTCACATTCTCTCTCACACATACACACACACACATACACACGAGACTGAAAGAAAGGTGAAAACTTAGGATAAACAAAGTCATGTGAGCGGAAGTCCTAGAATAAGCTTCTGAATGGGGGAGGGGTGACATGCTGAGACTGGGTCTCAGGATGCAGCCCAAGCCAGCTTCGAACTCGTAATGCACCTTGTCACTGCCTCCTGAGTGTTTGATATTCTAGTGGCGGTTCAGCTGCTGCAGATTTACTTCCACCTGTTCTCAAGTGCTTCTGCTTTGATCTAGCAGCCAGACAGAACGAAAACAAACAACAACCAAAAAACAAAACAAAAACAAAAACTGGACCATTCTTTCCTGGGGACCAAAGGAGGGATTCCAGAACAAGGGAGTTTGTGTAGAAAGTGCACCCAAGCAACCCATCCATCCGCCCTCCCTGTTCCTTCCTCTCTTTCCTTGCAAGTGTGCAGCCCTTCTCTCCCCAGGAAGAAACACCAGAGTGGGGCCGGGTGGTGGGGGCACACACTTTTAATCCCCTCGGGAGGCAGCAACAGGTAGATGTCAGTGAGTTCGAGGCCAGCCTGGTCTACAGAGTGAGTAGTCAACCAGAACTGTTACACAGAGAAACCCTGTCTCGAAAAACCAAAACAAACAAACAACAACAACAACAACAAAAACAGAGTGGAATTCAATGCCAATGCAACGTGATCTAATCCAAATGGGAGCAGGCCTGAACAGTGAGACCTAGAACCCACAGGCTCAGTGCCCCTGAGCCCCATCATCGTCTTCACCTCATCTATAAAGTGGGCATAAGACAATAAGGATGACGACCAGCCATGAGGGGAGGAGTAAGCAACGGTCCTTTTGGGGGGGGGTGAGCCTTGGCTTTCCAGTCAAGCTAACCCTAAATGATTAAGATGTTGACTGATACTTTAGGTTCACAAACTCCACATTTGGTGACCCTCTGATAAAGTCCTTATTCTAGGCCTGTGCGTCACCTAACAAAAAACATGCAAAATGCTAGGAGTCTTAACTTGCAGAAAAGTCGTATGTCTAACAAATTACAGGAACTAACTCCAGACAGTTAAGGCCAGATGTTCCACAGGGAGAGGAAGGGAAGGAAGAGAGGGAGGGGGCAGGAGGAAGAAAGAAGCAGGAAAAGAACCTGGATGAGGAGGAGTTCTTCTGGTCCCTTACCAGGACCTGCCCTTTTTTCTTTTAATTTTTTTCTTCTTTTCATATGCATTTGTGTTTGGTCTTTCAAGTGTCTGTGAAGAGAGTCGGATCCACTGAAACTGGAGTTACAGGCAGTTGTGAGATGCCATGTGGGTGCTGGGAATTGAACCCAGGTCCTCTGGAAAAGCAGCCAATGCTCTTAACTGCTGAACCATCTCTCCAGTCCCCTTTTATTCTTTTCTTGTAAAAGGTGGTGGCACACCTTTAATCCCAGCACTCAGGAGGCAGAGACAGGTGGATCTCTGTGAGTTTGAGGCCAGTCTGGTCTACAGAGTGAGTTCCAGGACAGCCAGGCTTATACAGATAAGCTCTATCTTCAAAAACAAAATTAAATATATAAATGATGATGATGATGATAGCAGCTCTTTTGTGCACTTAATCATTTTGGGGGGATGATAGTTCTATTCATCTCATCAGAAGGTAAGCATTTTAATAAGCTTGATTTTCCTCCCCATCAGCCCTTGACTCCTAAGTGCTAGGCTTTCAGGAGTGGGCAGGTGGCCTTGGTGGTGTTTTGCACTTTACTTGTCCAGCACTGAGATCAAAGGCTATGGCCAAGGAGGTGGATAGGTAGGACAACCAGAAAGAAGATGAGTTCCACATAAGCTAGACAGAGCCTGGTCTGGGTGGATTTGGGTGGTGGTGGCTTGCTCTGTGAGGTGAACAGAGAAACATGCTGAATCATTTCATCAAGCTCATTTGATAGAGACTCTGTCCTCACCTCCTGGTACTGTATGCCTCAGCAATGGCAGCGGCTAGGATCTGCAGAGCCTATGAGCGCAGCCTTGAAGTCTGCCTCATTCTCCTCTCACCCCACAGCCACAAGCGCCCATGCTCAGGTTGCAGTGATAGAATGGAGGCCTTGTGTGGCTAAGTGACTTTGTTCAGAACAACTCAGTCCACAGTGGTAAAGCCAGAAATCAACCTCACTGTCTGACTTCATAGTCCGTTCTCTGAACCACTCAAGCACAATAAAACAGTGCAGGGGCTGTGCTGCAGGGAAACATCGGGACTTACTAGATTTCGTGGTCAATAGATGCAAACAACTGATTTGGCCAAAGTGCCCCTGCCAGTAAATCCAGCTCCAAATCAAACAGAGCAAGGGGTCAACACAGCTCCATCCGGAAGGTCCTGATAGGTAATTCTCTTACGGAAACTCATCCCCACTTTCTTCTTTCTCTCCTCCAATCACCCACAAGAGCAAGATCTGTGCCCCTCACACATCCCCAGTGCATGGTTACCTGAGAGTACCGGAAGTTTCCTGCTTCCTCTGTCCTGCTCTCTTCTTCACCAGGGCGTCCAGTGCTGGAACTGTACTGGGACATTTCTGTCACCAGGGTAGCTGATGGCATAATGGAGGAAATGAGCTTCTGATGAGGAGCTGAAGGCTCAGGAGACTCAGGAGGTGCCTGACCCAGACTCTCCCCAGACCTGGAACTTTAAGAGAGCTGCCTACAGCAGAGTGACTCTGCAGGGAGAAGGGCTTGTCGGGTCTAGTTGAAAACAGAGTGTGCCAACCTGCTCCAGGGTCAGTGGTTCCCTGAAGAATCTCCATTCTGAGAAAGAAGGCCAAGCAGGGGTGACAGGCACCCTGGCTCACACCTGCAGACAGATACTCAGCCCAAACTTGGAAGATGCTATGGAATCATTGTACCAAGGTTTTGTTTTTTGTTTTTTAAAATTTATTTATTTATTACATATACACCAGATTGAATTGTAGATGGTTGTCAGCCACCATGTGGTTGCTGGGAATTGAACTCAGGACCTCTGGAAGAGCAGTCTGTGCTCTTAACCTCTGAGCCATCTCTCCAGCCCCCAAGGTTTTGTTTTTTGTCACCCACCCCCTTATTTTTCTGAATAGAGCAAGGTTGTAAAACCACTGTTGCAGGCTGCCAGCAGGACCTGAATTTAATCCAGTGAAAATTGCTTTGGCTTTTTTAAAAAATCAAATGACAATACCAAAACAGAGCTTGTTTTGACTTCTTATTTAAAATACAAAATGTACAAAAATGGACCCAGAGAAATCCAAAAGCTTTGGCCTTTCTCAAGGGCATTCACATCAGAGTTCTGGAATGTAACCAGCTCTAGTCAGCCTTCCTCAAGACGTTTCTTAATAAAGGGATTTACTAATCTTCCAGCATGCCTTTCATATTCATGGCTTATTTTTTGACCGCCTAACACTCTCCTTTCCCCGCCCCAGCAAAGTATAAACTCCACCACAACATGAATTTTTCTTCTATGCACACGCAGTTGGAATAATGCCTAACACAACACAGATGCCAAGAATGTCTGTGGAATGGATGAGTGTGTGGCATAGGGAGGGAGCATATTGTTTTTATGGCATTTTAATTATATATACATATATATATATATAGTAATGTGTTCTGATTCTTGATGTAAAAATCTGTTTTTTTCTGTAGGTCACAATGAAAAGCTTCAGACAGTCATTGCCATGGCACAGCTATGAGTGAAGGGAATGGTGTATTAACTAGAGCAGCGATTCATAGTCACCTGGGCATCTTGTTGAGAGAGGCAGATTTGCGTTCAGCAGGTTGGAAAGGTAATCGGAGGCTTGACATTTCCATCGAATTTTCAGGTACTGGTCCATGGGAAACAATGTATTTTTGTTTTTTTTGTTTTTGTTTTTGTTTTGTTTTGTTTTGGTTTTTCGAGACAGGGTTTCTCTGTGGCTTTGGAGGCTGTCCTGGAACTCGCTTGGTAGTTCAGGCTGGTCTCGAACTCACAGAGATCCGCCTGCCTCTGCCTCCCGAGTGCTTGTATTTTTATTTTTGATTGTTCTAGGTTTATCTATTGATGTGCCCCAGTGTTTTGCCTCTGTGTATGTATATGCGCCCCATGTGTGCCTGGTGTCTGAGGAGGTCAGAAATGGGCACTGGATCCCCTGAAACTGAAGTTGTAGATGTTTGCAAACTGCCATGTTGGTGCTGGGAGCAATCAATATCCTTAACTGCTAAGCCATCTCTCTCAAAAAAAATGTAAACAATATTGTGTACCCTGGCATAACTAAATTGTGATCTCTGGCATAGAATTCAGCATCTCTGGCTTCCTTTTTTTTCTACAGGTATGTGTGAGTAAGTACACAAATTTACATACACAGGGACCAAAGGACAAGGGGCAGAGTTGGTTCTCTCCCTCTACTATGTGGAATCAGGGGTGTGTGGGCTCTTCAGGCTTTGCAACCTATACCTCCATTCCCAGAGCATCTCAGCTTTCAACTCGAGCGCCTTTAAGAGCTCCTCAGGTGATGCCAGCATGTTTGCTGAAACTGGGTAGGGAGGCAGAGAGAACAGATATTTTGGTCTTTGCGCCCTTGCCTGGAACAACTCTGAACTGAGGTCCCTAGGAAATGAGATGCTGGTATCAGAGTCAATGCTTGGATGGGACAAAAGCAAAGGGGAGTCAGGAAAAGGTCATTAGAAGAAGGTGAAGGAAGGAACTCTGATGGTTCCCTAGGCACGGGAGTGTCTAATAACCCAGGCCAGACCCTCTCAGAACCAAGAACAGACTGTGCCCTTACCTATCAGTAGGTCAGAGCTCCTGGGAGCTGATACTCAGCAGGCCCTGTTCACACGCCCCCGGGGAATTCAGTTTTCAAAACTATACTAGGGCATAGGGAGGAGCGGTCTGCTGCCAGCTTCTCCCACATGCCTGCCTCCTCTGCCCAGCTGGCGTAAGAGCCAGAAACGTCCAAAGATTTTAAACCCTGAGGTCAACATGGGCTGTATTCCTAAAGGAAATACCTAGGAGCCCTGAGTTCTGACGCCCTCTGCTGGACAACTAGAGTTAGGCTGATGCTCCACCAACTGTCCAGTTGTGGTCCAGCAGTGTCAGGCATTGTCAGGATCAAGCAGTTGGGGATGTAGCATTGTTGTTTGCCTAACATGCAGTCCCCAGCACTGAGAAAACTGGGTGTGATGAGCCCTGCCTGCAATCCCAGCACTTGGAAGGTAGAGGCAGGAGGATAAATTTAAGGTCATCCTCTGCCAACCTGGACTATAAGAAACACTGTTTCATACAGCAAAACTACACGATCAAAAGCAAAACAAACAACAAAGAAACTTTTGGAAATTCAAGACTAATCAGACCCCACTGTTCTGAGTGTCCGTGGGGTATTCTTTTTCTTCTTTCTGCGGCACCTCTCTCTGCTCAGCTGTCCTCAGTTGAAATGGAGACACCACACAATCCTTCGTTCACTGTTTCTCCTGCTGCCCCATAGTGCCCATCCCAGGCCAGCCCATTCTTACCATCTCTTTTGGCTTCCCTCTCTAGTTTAGAAAGCTTGTTTCCACTCTGCCACCCTACTACACCTGAGGTATTTAGATTCACATATGTAGCTCTCCCTGCACCCTTGGCAATCTCCCTAACAATGTTCAGCTTACTGCAGGGCATTTCTATTTGGTCACATGGATCTGAGGCGTTAGCAACATCCGGAATGCAAATCCAGCATCTCACTCCACCCCAAGGCTCTCTCACTGACCCAGAAAACAAATTCTGTTTCTGTTTGTTTGTTTTTGAGACAGGGTCACACTGTGTAGACCAGGCTGGCCTCAAACTCACAGCGATCAGCCTGCCTCTGCCTTCCATGTGCTGGGACTAAAGGCGTGCGCCACCGCTGCCTGGTCAGACTCTGGTTTTCGGTGGCTTCTTTTAGCCAGTTCTTCCTTCAGCACCACAGCAGTGCCTCGGTCCCATGACTTCTATCCTCTTGCTTTGCTTCACCGGCTTCAGGACACCTAGAGAGATCCCGTGTCTGAAGCCCAGGCTTTCCCTCCGGCAGCATTCATTCAGATGGTAGCCACACACCTTTGACATGCCCGATGTGATGAGTGGAAGACACTTTCTCCAGCCCAGGCAGCGTGTTTCTCAGATCCTCTCTTGGAGGGATGTAAGGATTAGAAGAGATAATACTGCCACATCCACACCCCTGATTGGTGTCATTACCAGGAGTGTTCTCCGGATGACCTTGCTGACTTCAGACTCTCTGCCTTCTCGGTAATTGCTGGTTAATCTTCCTAAAACCTGGATTTCATCACATTCCCTCTTACTTAACAACTTTATGGCTGCTCCCTAGTAATCCCCATGTGTTTGGTAAATCACTGCGGGGTAAAACCTACGGGGATTGATTCACCACAGCAACACAGTGGGAAATTAGGTACCCAGGGGTCAACAGTGTGAAAATAGAAGCTGACACAGGTCTGTGAGTTACCACTCTAGGAAATCGGGCTTCCAGAAGACAAGGTGATCAGCGTGTCAGAAATCAGGGTGGTGGACAGCAAAAGTGAGGGTGCTGACATGTGTCCCTGACAAGACAAAAAGTTCCTGGAATGTCACGTTAGACATCCAAGACGACTTAGTGTTGGTGGTAAGGCCAAGAGGAACACCAGCTGGGACAATCAGGGCAGCTGCTCAAGCTCAGGAGGCTGTCTGCAGGGTAAACAGATTGATACAGGTCCCCAGAGGCACCTCTAGGTTATTGAATGAAGAGGAAAAGATTACACAGGTGTCCTGTGTTTGTCTGCTTACTGGTTGATTACTAATTGTTTATTGAAAGCAGTGGAAAGGTCCACAATGCCCAAGTAAACCATTTCTGAGGTTTCCTGCTGTGAAATAATCCCTTTGTACACTGTGAAGATTTGTCACTCGGAATGGTTTAATAAAGGGCTAAATGGCAGGAAGAGGTTAGGTGGGACTTGTGGACAAAAAGACTGCAGGGAAGAAGGAAGGTGGAGTTGCCTGGAGATGCAGAGGAAGCAGGAGATAAACATACTATGCTGAAAAAAGGTGCTGCAACATGGTAGAGCGTAGATAAGAAATGTGGGTTAGCTTAAGTTGTAAGAGCTAGTTAGTAACAAACCTAAGCTATGGGCCAAGCATTTAAAATTAATAATAAGTCTCTGTGTGGTTATTTGGGAGCTAGCTGGTGGGACAGAAAACCCTGCCTACAGTTCCCTAGATAAATGTAACAGCCCCAGCTTCTTCAGTGCTTAACATATACAAAGGAAAAAAGCGTAGAGGACATCCTTGGTCAGGGTGGCGGTTTGAAAGACAATGACCCCCATAGGAAGTAGCACTATTAGAAGGCGTGAGCTTGTTGGAAGAAGTATTTAACTGTGGGCATGGGCTTTGAGGTCTCATATGCTCAAGCTATATCCAGTGATAGAGTTTACTACCTGATGTCAGCAGATCAAGATGTAGAACTCTCAGCTCCTTCTCCAGCACCAAGTCTGCCTGCATGCTGCCATGTTACTATGATGAATGGACTAAACCTCTGAAACTGTAAGCAAGACACCCCAATTAAACATTCTCCTTTATAAGATTTTCCATGGAGCTAGAGAGATGGCTCAGAGGTTAAGAGCATTGACTGCTTTTCCAGAGGTCCTGAGTTCAATTCCCAACAACCACATGGTGGCTCACAACCATCTGTAATGAGATCTGGTCCCCTCTTCTGGCATAAAGATTTTCTTTAGAAAGTTTCCTTGGTCATGGTATCTCTTCACAGCAATAGAAACCCTAACTAAGCCAGTCAGTAAATCAGACTCTTTCAGGCTGAGGGAAGAAACTGCTTCACAGGTAGAGATAGCACACTCAAGGATTTGGTTCTGAGTGAACCAAGCCTCCCAGCTTGCATGTGTTCTTGCTGGTGAGACTCAGGCCTCCTGGCAGCATTTCCAAGTATGTCTAAGAGCAAGCTGGGAATTCTGCTGCCCAGTCATTCATTAATCAAAGACAAGGCTGGGCCCTGCACCTCACAGAGGTCTCCAGCTCACCCCTAGGTAGTCATATGAGCATGACTACAAACACAATACTATAGAATGCAGGTGACCCAAAGATAAGCAAGTCATGAAGGCTCCATTGTGACCATGAAGTGGATGGTAGTTCACTCCCACAGGAAAATAGCCAACCCCATGGACTAGCTTCAGGCTATATGGCAAAAGCTGTACTAGGCACAGTCACCCTTCTATGTATCAAAGTTTTCTTCTCTAGTGTAACAGGCCCCAGACCTTAGTACAACTAACTCCGTGTTGGAGGTACCATTCCCCTCCTGCCAAAACTAAAACAAAGACCTAATCCATCAAAGTCCATGCCGTTCTGGGAAAGTCTCTAATGTACTAACCTTGCTTTTTAGCTTCTGTAGTTCTGCTTCTGACCAACTTGTTCTTGTTAACTGAAGTGTATCACCCCAAGACATGGTTTTGTGCTTAAAAGCCCACCCTGGGAAAGGCTCAGAGCTACACTGGGATCCCTAACACCCTCTGTAGTTGGCAGTTAGCTAATAAAGACTTGCTATTGAGTTAAACCCATGTCAGAGCATTCTTCTCTGGTGAACACCATGCAACATCTAGCATCGCTTTATTTATTTATTTTCGTTTATGTATTTGAGACAGGATCTCTCTCTTTGTAGTCCTAGCTCTCCTGGAACTCACTATGTAGATCAGGCTGGCCTTGAACTCACAGAGCTCCTCCTGCCTCTGCTCCCCAAGTGCTGGAATTAAAAGCATATTGGACCATGCCCAGCCTTTTAGCATCGCTTTACAGTTTTGTTTTCATTTGTTTGTGTGTGTGTGTGTGTGTGTGTGTGTGTGTGTGTGTGTGTGTGTATGTGTGTGTGTGTGTTTGCCTACAGAGTTCAGAAATGGACACTATATCCCCTGGAGCTGGAGTTAACAGGTGGCTGTGAGCTGCCTGGCATGGGCTGCTGGAGGCCAAACTCTGGTCCTCTGCAAGAGCAGTGAGCACTGTTGAGCCATCTCTCCAGCCCCTGACTGTCTTGTTTAATTATTTTTAAAAATACATTGAGTGTGTTTTAAAAAGCAACCAGCAGATTCACATACCAATCTTCAGCCCATTGCCTTCCAGAGGCCAGGCACTCAGACACC